TCATTTCATAGCTTATACTATTAGACTATTATTCTATTAACCATCATTCCTATTCATCAACCTGTATTAGCTTTGGCGTAACTCCAGGCTTACTTTATGACCCTAAAAATAGCAAATATTTAATAGGAAAATCGCCGCAAATATTGCTGTAACGCCGCACGAAAAATCTTGATCACCTCGGCGAGACTTAGGTTAGGCCAGGTGCAGGCATTCAGGAAACCTATACCTGAATGCCGGCGATTTTGTTTGATCAGCTTTGTTTAAAGTCTTTAAAGATGATAATAGTTAGATTTAATTTTTTCTGTGCTTATTCTAGTCATAAGCCGCGGCATATTATATCACCCAAGGGACCCCCCTAGGGTCCCCTAGGGGTGCTCGACGTACCCTAGAAAGTTCCATTGCCACCCAGAAAGCTCAGCCATCAAACTTTTCGTAGTAATTTACGGGTATTTAAGTTAGGCCATTGTCACATACATGGATTTGAGTCACACGTTCAAAATTCTGTGGTGGCTCCGCCGAAATATTGGGTTCCCCTTCATTTTGAACTGGAATGTACCCCTCCCTCAAGACTAAAGAACGATTCTAACTGTCTTACATAGTTGTCTAATCTATTCAGTTATGGCTGCAGAGTCCCGTTCAATCAAATACCGAGCCTAACTGCGCGTCCATGGTTTGCGGTTACACCGCGGCACGCCATAGATAAAACCCTACGACTATCAACGTTTTTGCTTTATGTGAAAGCAAAAATGTGATCAAATCTAATTTTAACCTACCATACGTCCTCTTGCTACGTCTGATATATTGTTTGCTGCCTTAATCTCTTTGGCCTATAAATCCTAAAACACGAACAAATTACTTAATTAACACTAGCAATATCAGGAGCCTATCGGCTGAATTCTAAAAGTATTGCTTAACTTTTCAACCTGCTACTATCCGTCAATATTCAAGCCTAGAAAAACAAAACTAAGCGTCTTACAGGCGAAAAAAAAAATGATAACAAGTTTTTGTAATTTTAACGCTCAATACACTTGAATTTCTGGAGCTTAAAATAGACCACAAACTGAACCGATATATCTTGGAATAGAATTTAAAAAAATCTTAAAGGCTCTCAAAAGTTTTAATTGTGTTTAAAAGTAGCCATTTTCTCCATTCCTTTCTTTGGCTCAAATAACACCCTGTTCAGTTATGTCGGTCGTTCCCGACAGATACCTGTTGATCTCAAGCTAAAGATATTATTCAACTTGTTGTTGTTGTTACACGGGGCTGGGAAACTACTTGTTTCTTTAATGGCGACTGAGGTGATTGGGCAATGAAAGGCGTCAGGATTTCTGAAAATGTGGGCAGCCCCGTTGTAGCTAATCTCCCGTAGGTCCCGATTGTTTAGTTATGTTTCCAGGCATTGTTATTATCATCGTTAAGATGGTGTTCATCTCTAGCCAAAACAATCCTCGATATTGCTTCCTCGATTAAGGAAATGGCGTCGGAAATGACGGGAAACCGAGTGTGGATACAAACTAGCCTACGTTGCAAGCGTTTCCTCGCGAGATTCGTCTAGAAAGCTGGGACAAGAGCAAAAAAAAAATTAATGACTCTTCCGCTCTAACTTTCGCGCAATAACTCGATTGGAAACGCTTGCTACGCAGGCTAGATACAAACTAGCCATGCAGCTTTTCGGAGCCTTAGCATTCTATAATAAGCTATATTGCCTGCTTAAACATGCGAATACTTTTTGCGATATAATCTCTGAACCAGTGCGGAATGAATTAAGGTAGCTAATATTGATAACAAGAAAACTTGAGGAAACGCAATAAAGTCCACGCACTCAATTTTTAAGGATCGTCGATTGAGTGTTGCTGTTTCCGTTGCTGACTTCTATTTCGTATGCTACAATGTAACCCGTTACTGATCTAACAACCAGCATGCTACTTGTACCGTATCCTCATTTAGCTGAACTACGAGTCCATCAATTTTTTTTTCTTGGAAATAAGCGAGAGACATGCGACCGACTTAGCACACACGTATTTCCCTGCTCAGTCGAGCGGTGATCTTTGAGGGCCACGTACTCACGTACTGTGATAAGTCACTGACTGACAAAAACACATAATAAAATTCATGGATTACTATTATACGGCTTAGTGTTGTGTTTGTTGCTTTAACAACTAATCCTTCCCGTTTTTTTTTTTCTTGGCACCCACTCGGCATCATCCGAGCTAAAGCCAAATTCAACAAGGCCTTGATTTTCGATCGGACTGGTGAAGTATGGGGTTGGGATGATGAAGCATTACTAATTAAGTGATAACTGCACGATAGAAATGAAAGCTAAGAAACGTTCGTGTAATTCAAGAGAGAGCAAGTGGGTAGAGAGCCCGGGGGTACTCCCTTATAAGGGCTCAATGGGGACGTGCGGCCAGCCAGGGTATGTTTTTCGGGATTTTAGTCTTAAACAGGGTATCGAATTTATCATTTTTTGTCTCAATCAGGGTATCGATTTATCAATTTTTGTCTTAAACAGGATAAATGTCTTAAACAGGGTATCAAAAATCGGAATTCTGTCTTAAACAGGGTAGGAAAATCAGCGATACAGTTGTCTTAAACAGGGTCAGGGTATGAGGGGCCCCGCCGCACCTCCCCGCCCAGGGATATATCGAGTACACCCCCCGGGGTAGAGAGAGCATTTTAAAAGATATGTCCTCCGCCCCATTTCCGCATTTTTGTGCAACTTTGATTAAATTATAAGAAACAAAATGCTTTTCCCAAACATTCCAAAAAGATTAAGCTCAAGTCACGATTATGAAGATATTTTTGAAGGAGCTATTTGTTTTCGTGACGTACACTTACAATGGTTAGATGCTCTGAGAACTGAAAATATCCGGTAATTTTCGAATCCTTTTAAATGTCGATGTCAAGCTTAGCTTTCTCTGTCTTTATCTTGATAGTGTCAGTTTGCGCATCCGTCTTACTGCTGTGTCTCTTTTAAACCTTGATGTTTAGTCAAAGCATTTTGTAGAACGGTGACCCCGATTGTTCCAGCTTTTCCTTTAGCTAAATATCTAACAAGTCTTAGACTGACCCTTTAAACAGCTTCAATTTAAGTCGGTAATTGACTTCATCCAACTCATCAATTGAAGTAGAAGTCCTGGATATCAAATGATCGTTCCTTTTTGGGCAAACTAACAATCTTGGAAATACTCCGTAAAAAAATACGCTTGTACTTCTACCCGATACAGGGATACGTCTAAAATGAACGCAATTTTCGGGAGCCTTCCCTGTCTCCAGTTCTAAAATCACGGGATATTTTCGTGCCAGTTCTTAAAATTCAGTGCTTTAGAAATTTGGGCTACGACTCAAAACGTACCTTCAAAAGATAAGTTGTAAAATTTCCCATTAGTGTTCGGCCTTGCATTTTTTTTGTGGCAAATCTCTCCGCTGTTATATCTACTGTATACTAAAAAACCAAAACTGACTAATCATGGCGCAATTTTTTTGGCTTATGACTGTTACAATGAGTTGGTCGCATACATCATGCAGTCGCAATAAAAGTAATAATAATAATGTGCAGTAAAATCGGATATGTAGCCTGAGTATCAGGCGTTTCTGGGGAAAAGGGGAAAGATGGAAGCGAAAAAGGGAGAGAGCTGAAATCTCCTCTCCCCTAACCCCGTAGGAAGGCCTGATACTCAGGCTATCGGATATGAGGAGTCCGTATCACACTGTATTGGAACCTAAATTAATCGTAGACCGACCAAGTGAAGCCCTACGCAACATGTACAGTCCCGATCAGAAGCGACTTTTATCCTCAGCTCTGAAAGGTCTTAAAGTAATAAAGCCTGACTTCTAAGTAGCATTCTATCGAGTGCTATATTGAAGTGGATATGGATGGGCTTCTCTTTCTTGTGAAAGGCAGAAAACTTTAACATTTTCTCGACTAATTCGTTGTACAAAAAGGGGTTGATATTACCAAGCAGACTGAAATTCGACTCCCTTGGTATCAAAGTGAACATACCCGGTATATAAAGTCTACGTACCTTTTTTTTACAAATCCTTGTGGATAAAATTTTAGATTTTGTAGTACACTGTCCTGAGTGTACCATGAACGCGTACTCACGTCTTGTCCGCGTGACAGAGTCAGAATCCACAGATTTATAAACTCATGTTTCAGCTATTTCTCAGGGTTTGGCATGATAACTACGCGATAGTTGATACTTCTTAGCCTCAAAACAAATAAATACCGCAAAAATGTTTCATAACCTGTAGAAAAATTGTCACAACTTTTCTTAACAATAAAATGTCTAACTGATAAGCAAACCGACAATGGGAATGGGCTGAGTTGTAAACAACCAGAGACTTGTAGCCTCGAAATATAGGTGACTTTGGTACGAATAATAAGCGCGACGGAAGACAGCGTTGGATCAGCCTGTACTAGGCATGGCAAATTGAATAAATCGAGGTTGGCAACCATCACGCAAGATTCACACAGTACAAATAAAAAGTTGAACCGACTGCATAATTTCTCCATTAAAATTGGTTATGAATAAGAGCTGAGATTGATTCACTGTGATAGGGGGGCATTTAAATTTTGGCCTGTTTCAGGACGGCAACATTGGTGAGAATATAGAGAGAGAATTTAAAGAGCCCAAAAACCCAACGATTGCCAAAGAACGAAAAGAAAGGTGAAGATCACCCTCCGGTCTTTCCTGTCATTTCATGCTTCTTAATCGTATTCTTTTGCATAAAATGACCCCGCATTTTGTAGTCCTCATTGGTTGTATAAAAAGCCCATGGCCTATAGACCTGAGACGAAGCAATTCAGCGGGTTCGTGCAAAGTGGCCAGTACAGACGCTTTCTCCAATAAAAACTGATTTTTTATTTGGGGGGGGGGGCGTCTGCACACAGGCTGGTGCAAAGTGGAATGTTCGTAGAATACGTGCATGGTCTTGACGAGTACTTTGCCATTCCCCATTTCCACTGGAACGTGCGGTGACAAATTGAATTATACCTAATATTTCACGGATTAGCCGTACGTAATCCTATTTTCGCTTTTGCTAAAACGGATGAACTGCCAAACTTGTTTCCGGGCAGAATGTCACTCCTACAGCACTGTCTTTTCTCAGTTCAGATCAGACTCTCTTTCATTTTGCATTTACACGGGCGGGTGAAGAAGGTTATGGGCTCGTGGTTTGTATCAAGTCTTCTCAAGGAAGAGGCTTAGCCACCACGTTGCGCACGTGCGTACATGAAAAAGGGTAAAGGTGTAATCAATAAAGGTAAAAAGAAAAAAAAATAAGGGTACATTAAAAAAATACCAATCAATCACTAGCAATCACGGTGATACAGTAGGCAGTCGAAGCATTGCCATGATCAAACTATTAATTTCATCGAGAAGCGACTTGCACGTGCTTCAGTCAATGGACCCAAAAATTTAACCTACGCTTAGTTTTGCAATGTAACCTAATTTTTAATCAAGGCAGAGTTTTAGGACTATGGCGGGGAAAATTAGAAAATTGGTGGTGTGAAATCGGGTATACATTTATTTTAACCGTTTGGGTCTTACATTGAGAGTGCCCATTTTTAAATGAAACCAGACTCTGAAACTGTGCGTGTAGTTTTTTTTGGCCTTGATTTTGCAACAAAGATATAAAAAATATTCATGATGAGCCAGTCATATCATTGGTCTGATCTTACTTCTAACCGTTCTTCACGGTAAAACATTGCGTTCCGTGTTTCGATTACTTCAGTAACATGTACGTTTTTGACATTCATTTCATCATGATGCTGATGGTTGAAGTAAGCTTTCAATATCATTGACGCTAAGTACGGGAAATTAAAAAATAGGATTTCAGTGCTTCATTCGAAAAAAGTTCGACAACTGCAATCGAGTTGTTTGACGAAAATAGCCCATCCCTTAAAAATCAATGTTAAAGTTTTGTTAAGTTACAGAAAAATGGCTGACGTTTGCGTGAGCAACAAAGTACACGATGTGAAAGCGTATTTCGTAGCTTAGGAAGTATAGTAAAAGCATTTCAACAATTAAAAACGTATTGAATAAAATCAACAGTTACCTTAATGGTCCAATTCAGTTTGTCGGACGACTAACAAACCTGATGAATTCAGTAGTGAATGTTGTCCAAAAATAAACGCGGGAAAATGGTTGCTTGGTTCCCACAAGAATCGAGGACTAGAGTCACTTGGTGGAAATGTTGGTGCGCGCCTATTTATGCAAGTTTAGCAGGGGCGGATCCAGGATTTTTTTTTTTAGGAGGGGTTGCACTCGTCTCTTGCTCTACTTCAACACCAATAAACCACATAGTTTTTTTTTGGCAGAATACCAGTTGAATAAGAAAACGGCAGGTCATCTCGGGGGGGGGGGGGTGCGCACCCCCTGCCCCCTCCCCCTAGATCCGCCCCTGTTTAGTCGTTTAATGTCAGTGTCTCTGTTAAATAATTGAAGCACCCGTCAAAGCCGACTGAGTCACTCTTTAATTAAGGAATTGGCATGTCTCCTTTAGCCTTTTTTTAGAGTATATATACAAGAAAAGTTTACTTTGATTCAAAACCCACGTATTACGTGAATTTACCACAGTAGGACTTTGAAATCCCCGTCCAATTAGAGGGTTTTTAGGGAAAAAACTGTTTGGGACTTTCAGGTATAGTGCACCTACAGTATCACTAAGGGCAGGGAACGCATCAGGATTTTCTGTCAGTATTCTTGAAGATAAATGCAAACAATACTCGCCTTGTCAAATATCGGTTGTTCATTTAGCGGCCCTCGAAAAATAATTATGTATAAGCTTTAATGTTTCATCGATAAGTTAGATTCAATTTACCTTGGATACAACTTCGGACAAACGGCTATTGAGAGAGTTTCATCTGACCCATCTACTTTCTAGCTTTTGCGCTATAACATCTGATCATCTCCTCTTAACAGAAGAAGTACGCCTCCTCCCCACCCCCTATTCAAAGTTGTTTTGGTCTAAGAACTCTGGTGTTATCCTAAACAACATTGTATAAGAGGGAAGAGAGAAGCTTAGGGGCTTTCATTTAGCTACGGTTTCCATTTTTGGTGCGGGATGACAGAAAAAAATATATCGGAAAAAGTAAGTACTACATATGTAGCGCCAACGGGCCTTTGTACTATTTACATGATGACAGAGAAGAATCGCCGCGAAAAGGACCCTTTCCCCACAAGCTCCCAGGCCCTTAACCCATTCGCTCCTGGAGATTTTGCCGAAAAACGCGTTTTGAAGCTAGTCGAGTGGTTTTCTGGTCACTGTCGTGCTATAAAGAACTAAAACTTACCACAAACCGGTTTACAGGTCGTACACTTGGCGACCTTCTGATCCAGATGCAAAATATCAGCTTACGAAGTTCGGGCATGCGCAGAAAGCAAAATTTCGACAGTTTTTGGGTTTAAAAGTGACACAGCAGTCTTGACTTTTACTTTCCGCTTTCTCTCCTCCCTTCTTTTTTCGCTTTTCTTACCTCATTTTTTTTTTCTCTTGCTGGGCATTTAGTAGGCTTCATTTTGGTGGGAAGAGTTTTTAGGAAAGCTTTTAGGATCTTAGGATTAGGTGAAAGGAAAGGTAGGTGGGTAATGGAACAAGATTTTCATGGAGATTTTCAGGTCCTTGTCACGTGGTTTTTTGCTTCTTTCTCCGGTGTCCTTTACTGAATTGTGCTCATTCTGGTATGGTTTGAAAGATCTCTTCACCCTGCACAAGTTAGCGAAGAAAGTTGTCCTTGACCGTTAAAACTGATGACGTCACAAAGGGTAGAAAGGACCTGGATCCACACGGGCGGTTACGGGCGGTTCAGGGGCGAATGGGTTAATCAAAAAACCTAAAAATGGCCTTTTACCAACTTTTTCACCTGATTTTACATGAAATAGACAGATTTGGTTGTTTTATGCTGAAAAGTGGATTTTTTTCAAAAAGCTTGGTACTCTGCTTAAAAGAGGGGGAAAAAATAGTTCATGCTTTGAAATGCACACCTCGTGTGTCATCTTTGACAGAACTGAGTTTTCTTTGTATAACCGCTGAGAGCCGCCATACGCCGCCATTTTTTGAGTTGCGAACTTTGGAGCCTCCTGTTGCCCTGAAAGCTTCAGTTTATTTCTAAAGCAGAGGCAATCGTCAGAAACAGTCAAAATGCAGGTAACTATAACGCTTAATCCTAACTTGATGTTCAGGGTTACCTCCCTTTTCATAGCAATCTGCGCGGGCGTTTACTTTGAATTTTGCGTGTTACGAAATCGCCGCGCGCGTTGTGGAAGTTCAATGATTTTCCAAGGTTTTGTGCGGTGAACAACTGTTTCGTCTCTTATGCGTTTGAATTGCGTCGCTTTTTTAGTGGCTTAAAAATTGTTAAGTTACATTCTATGAGAAAGAAAATTAATTCTGCTATGGATATTCCTTTCGGCCTAAGTACTGTACATCATGTCAGCTGATTAGTGTCTGATAGCATAAATCAAAGTCTGTGAGGAGTTGTCAAAGACTAAGAAGATCGTTATTTCCTCTTTGTGGACCAAACTGTAATTTCTTAGTGCTGCACATGATAAAACAATTATGTTTTCAATCCTGCAGATAGACATTTTGGATTTTAGGAGTCAAAGGAAACTGTGTACTTTAGAAAGTGTAAGTTACATGTACAATTTCTCATGATAATTCATCAGTCAATTCTAGGTGTGCCCAGTCTACGGACTGAGTATAAAACACGAACTAGGTATATTACGCGGACTATGGACTGTGTATATAAAAACAGCTTTAGAAAGGTAAAACCGAGAGAAACGGATAGCGGACTAGCATAAAACAGTAGTCCCAGATCCTTTCCTCACACACAAACATTCTTTTGGCTGGTCACGCAGTCTATTCTCCTCAACATCAGGATGGAGAAGGAAAGGATACTGCACGAGAAAGGAAGGTTATGCCGATACTCAACGCAACTGAATTTTATAAAAAGGAAGTGTTAAAAGAGAATTCAATTTATAGTTTTAAACCAATAGGAGATATGGAAATTGAGAGGTACCAAATTTACAAAAAAATAGTATTGGTGTTAGTGAGGGTAAAATTCTTATAGATGCCACTGTTCTGTTTCAAATAAAGCCTTGGGGATATGAGAAAGTGAAGAACACAGATGAGAAGGTCAATATAGGGGCATTCCATGATGCAAAAAAGCTGTATTTAGGGGGGAGGGGTTACTCACCTACACGTGAATAGTAGCCAAATTATCATCCAACATTATATTCTAACCGATGATGATATGTTTATTTTACACCTACATGTATGTAATTAACATGTACATCGCGTTTGTGACCCCTGCCGTGGATGTTAGAGACCGAGACCAGGTCTGAAAATGGGTGTAGAAAATAGCATTTTGGTCAGGCTCAAGATGTGGAGAAGCGGGTGGCACATCTCCACCAAGAATTTCCAGGAGTATTTATAACTTAAACTCACGTTTTGTGCTATTTAGCGATCTTTCGAACTTATTTTACCTTACCTGGAACCAATTAGCACAGTTTTTACCAATATAGTCCTTGGTCCACATTTTATACCTAGTCTGTGTTTTATATCCAGTCCGCAGTCCCTGGTCCGCAGTCCACAGTCCATTTTTTATACTGACCGTTATCCAAACATAACTAAACATGGAGGATGACAGAGTGGAGATTCTGCAGTTGGGACATTTTATTACAGAAAAAAAATATTTTGTCAACACCAACTGTTCATTGAAAGTTTAGCAGAGCTTTTGGAACCCTTGGGACTCCTTCATCAGTGATGGCCTTTGCTGTCAGTTGCAGCCTTATTTTGATGAGGCTGCAAAATTGTTCCATTAATTAGGGGAAGGTTTTAGCCCTGACCACAGTTATTTTCTGGTCGCTGCTTCTGAATTTATATGGCCTCGTGTATCTTGTGTGAAAGCAGGTGGTTTTCCTGGCCAATAATTTTTGCACTGGCCCAGTGTTCTTAGCATGTTCAGACACAGCAGACTTGAGATCATTCTGCCTTGTCTGAACATGCCCCTATGAATTTATTTGAAATGGCTTTTCATGCACTGAAACTATATTGTATTCATTTTATTTAATCATGAAGTGTGAAAGCTAGCCTCTTGATCTGAGCACTGTAAATACTGTCTTCTGTAAATGTAATATTCCACCTTTCCAATGCTCATGTGTTGTTGACAAGGTTAATGTGTAAATAATACATTCTTCAAAACTTAGCTCACCAATCTTTAATAATCCTTTTAGTTGGACTCAGCTGCTACAATTTCTGATGTCAAAAGAGAATATCACCAAAAATGTAAGTTTTAAGTAATAAGAGAGCTTTTGTCCTTCTCTCAAACCTGGATGTACCTGCACTGTTGATATCTAAATTTTTTTAACTACAACTTTGGTGTTTAACTGTATGTAGATAAAATAATGTTAAACCTCCTTGATTAATGGTGACAAAAACCAGACTTTTCTGTTTGGGATGAGGCAACTTATCTCTAGCTTTCCCAGTGTTATCGCCATACTTTTCCTCAGTCAAGACCTAGAACGTGTAACTTCCACCAAGGACAACCGGGTTACATTTGTCTCATAATTGTCAGATATTAATTGACCTTATCGTCCTACTAACCTCCTTTCTTTTATCCACACTATGTCAGATAAATAAGGTACTACTTACTTAGTAATACTTATTCTCTTAAGTTGTACAGTATAAAATCTTAACTGGGCATTCCATAAAACTCTGTGGGCCGTATACTTGCTAACACATAGAAGTTTGATCAAATTTCGCCAATGGTGATGTTATATTTTTAATTCTTACAGTTCCAAAATCATACCCAGAAAGACAGTCATTCCGTCTAGAGCCAAGTAAGTGCCATAATTTTCTTTTATTGACCTTTCCCGCATTCCGGTCCAGTGAGCAAACACAAAGACATGAGATCAAGGTTTGGTTGTACAGGTTCATACAAATCACTGTATTTTGTCCATCTGAGCCTTGAGTTGGTGCCTTTGTTTTCAGAAGTGCGAAAAAGTTCTATTATAACTAGGAAATTTATTAAAATTCATCTTTTTAGTAGGAGTGACTGTTTAACCCTTTTAACCTTAAGAGTGATCAGCATCAAATTTCTCCTTGTAATATCGATACTTTGTAAAACAGAGTGGTCATGAGAATTATGGACATGATCACACAAGATGAATTTGCTTGATATTTTATCAACTTCTCCCACTTCCCCTGTAGGAAATGAATAGGGGCAACAAATGAGAATTCAGATTTTGATCTTAGTGTTTAAAGGGTTAAGTGGTTTTTGACTACTGCAATACAGTTCAACCTCCCTTGAGCAGCTTACCATCAGGGTACCGGCAAGTTGCCGATAAATGGGGGTTGGCCACTCAGTAGAGGTTCCTCATACATGTAAATCAGCATAATCTTTGGATTAATTCAGGATTCTTGGAAACTACCCACCTACCCCTCCCCTAAGCCAACATTTTGCCCTAAGTGAGAAGTAAGTGATAATGTTGGCTTAGGGGAGGGGTAGGTGGGCAGTTTCCCAGATACCTAAATTGATCCTAATCTTTAGCAGAAATTTCACTTTATTTTGAAACAAATGCGTGACAGAAGAAGCATTTACTGGTCCACAATCGCTCGTCACCTTCTATCTCGGACTGTATTTTCCTTCATCATAATTCTTAAAATGAAGTCAAACAAAGCGTATCAAGTGTTTGAAGGCTTTTTTTAAAATAGAGGTAACAACGACAAAAGGGGGCTGCGGTCGCATAACAGAGTTTTAATTTCCCATTCTTTTCTACAATTATTTCGGGAATTTGGCTACTGGCCGCTCAATTGAGGGTGGCTGTTTAATGGAGGGTGGACTGTATTATTGTGTTGCTATGGTGATTTAACTACTAGAACAATGGTATTCAATTTATAGTAGTTTTACTAATGCAATGGTGAGTTTATGGTATCATAAAAGTAACAACTTATTTTTTCATGTATTCCAATGATCAGTGGCAAAATTCCACTATCTGCCATTTTTCACTCAGAGAAGTAGAACTTGAGGTCAAGTTTTTCAGAATTATCATGCAAAACATCCGATAATGGTAATATTACTGAGTTTAAGTCCAATTTCGGCCTGTAATCAAACAAGTGACACAATTGGACCACCCTAAGTTCTGTTAGAAATTAATGATAACTATAACAAAATTTGGGGTAATTTAAGCTTTTTTTATAATCAAAACACAAGATCTTCAAAGAGTTTTTTGCCAGAACTGAAAAAAAAATTGGTGCTCACATAATGGCATGTCTTGTGAATAATTTTAAGGCATGACACATCCTGTTACACTGTCCTATGAGTGCTAAAATCAGTGCTACTGTAGCCAATCAGATGAGAGTTTTTATTAGTACTATGCAGGGCTTCTGATATTTCGCGGAAAAAAAAGCAAAATTTCGCGGGATTTTCAGGGGCAAATTCGCGGAAAAATCGGCCGATTTCGTGGGAAAAAAAATCAAAATTCGCGCAACAATCGGCCGATTTCAGGCGATTTTCGCGGGAGAAAAGTCAAAATTCGCAGGAAAATCAGCCCATTTCGAGGGATTTTAGCGGAAAAGAGTCAATTTTCGAAGGATTTTCAGGGGCAAATAATTTCCTAAGAATTTCTTAGAAAAATCGGCTGATTTCACGAGAAATTTCGGGGGGAAACTTCGCCAAGAAAACAATCAGTAAAAAATCGCCGATTTCGCTGGGGTTTTTTTGGCAAATTTCGGTAAAATCGATCAATTTTGCGTCGCTATGACCAGTGTTGGTGAACGTTTTTTTTAACACGGATAATCATTTACTCTTTCAACAACAGTTTGCTCGAGAAATAAGCGCATGTTAAAGCCATCAACATTATGGTTAGTGCCCAGTTTTTCGCAACGTTCATCTAACAACGCCTGGTAGTTTTGGGACGTTGTTTACTGGTCACAGTGATGAAGTTTCAAGCTAAATTTGGACGTTTGGGGTGAATAAAACCGGTCTAATAGCCAAGATAAGTATTAAATATGTTTTGCCGACATGTATTTGGAAATATTTCTGGCGGATTTCGCAGTATTTCGCGTTTTTTGGGGAATTTCGCGGGATTTCGCGGAAATACCTGAATTTCGCGGGTCCGCGACCGCGCGAAATATCAGAAGCCCTGACTATGGCTTCTCAGCCAATAAATGCCTCATGTGACTCAAGTGGTATTGTTACACTGTCTTGTACATGAACTGAATTAATGTTTTGTTTGTATTATTTTTTATTTTCTTTCTAAAGGAGGAAAATCCTTAAAGGATGAGGAAAAATTAGCATCATTTGACATAAAAGATGGAGGAAGATTGTACTTTAAAGACTTAGGTAAGATTGTTATTATTATATGACAATCATACATGTGGAGGTACTCCAGAATAACCAAAACTTATGACATTTTATCTACATTCTAACAATACATTCATATATTTGCCTTGTCCTGGGTGAAGTCCATTAAAAAATAAATGAAATTAACTTCTGTTTTTTACCCTCGGCAGTCTTTATAGTACTAATGCTAGTGGGGCCAAGCAAAGTCCTGAAACAAATAAATTTGAATCTAACATACATGTAAATGGGTTAAGAATCCTTATTGGCCAGAGGCAAACCAGTTGGCCATTAGCAAGTGCGGTCGAGGATTTAAACTTGTGACTGGCGAGAAAAAATCTGGCAAGTGGTCCGGGCGGAACTTGAACTTGAGGCCTCCGAATTGAAAGTCCAGAGCTCTAACCACTCGCCCATGCTGCCTCCTTCAAAATGAAAGTAGTATTTTACATCGCTCTTTTTGAATAAGTTTTTTGAAATTATACAAAATTAAATTTGGATATTATTTCTTCTTGATATGTTTTGACTAGCTAAAAGGTCAGGAGTAAAAAAGTGAAAGGATTTTGCCCACATTAATCTGTACTTTGATTTAATTCGTAGGTCCTCAGATAAGCTGGAGAACGGTGAGAACATTTTCTGTTAGAATTATTTATTTGGAAATTATGTACAGAGGTAACAAGAACTTACATGCATGCTTTGACAAGGTTTCATCTTTTTTGTGGAAATGAAAGGTAAACAATGTATGCCTGAATAAATGTTGAATTATTTTTGTACAAAGTACTTGACCTATTCGACTGTCTGCTAGGGTTCCTAGAACAGATTTTAATACCAACAAAATTTTTACACGTAATAGTGAATTCTTTAAAGTGGACCCTATAATTTTATTGACTTAGCCCCTTTTGTTCAAAAGGTGGGTAACACTATCCACCAGGCCTCTGTTGTTCAAAGGCTGGATAGCACTATCCACCGTATAAATCTCTATCCAGTGGATAGTGCAATTAGTTTCCCCAATACTTATCTGTTGGATAGTGGTTTATCCGGTGGATAGCACTATCCAACGTTTTAACAACCAGGGGCCGGTTGCTCGAAGCCTGGTTAGCGCTTCCCCTTGGTTAAGAGGTATCAAAATGTATAGGTTTCCATGGTATTTAACGCTGGTTAGCGCTAACCATGCTTTGAGCAACCCGGGCCAGGGCCAGATAAATCTCTATCCAGTGGATAGTGCCATTGGTTTCCCTAATACTTATCCACTGGATAGAGGGTTTTCCAGTGGATAGTGCTATCCATGCAGCTTTTGAACAGCTGGGCCCAGTACTCACTGGATAATTTTATTGACCTTTTAAACAACTCGGACCAGGCGTCGACCAAGCACAAAATGTCGGTATTGAGTGAGTCCTAAAATTATTTCTGCAAAACAAACCTGCCACCAGTGGATGTGTACCTCTTTCTCGCCAGCCTCTCCCCTTTCCTCCCCTCTCCTGGGTGCTTGCTTGTACACTAATATGTGACATGCAAGTGACAGAGGTTCATGTATGAGCCAGAAGCATGCATGATCGTAGACTCTGAGAGTTTCTATAGGTTATAATTGTGGGCTAATTGAAGAGCAAAAGGTGTAGTACTCATCATTACCTTTTTTTGTATAATTTATAGGTCTTTCTGGCTGAGTATGCTAGTCCCCTCATTTTTTACATGCTCCTGTACCCACGTCCTTCTATTGTCTACGGTCCAGCAGCGGCAAGTAAACCTTATGCTCCTGTTGTGCAGTAAGTTTACGTGTCTTAAACTCGTTTTTGTAGATTTATCGCTGGTTTTATAAACTCCATTGGGTATTTTGGGGTGTTACGCTGCTGCCTGATTGGCTCAGTTGAATGCATGAGTGCCGGTCCACCAAGTGGACGGTGGTAGGTGAAACCCCTGACCAGACCACCAATCAGGATATTTTAAAAACTGGCAAGACTATGGTGACTGTAATAAGATTATTGTTAGATCTTGCCTTAGTTCAGATGATCGTGCCATGCAGCTTGATGTTCAAAGCCATTGGCCATGTCTCCTTCATTCTTCCTTAGTTATTAGAATACAAAAAGAGTCCCACACTGCCTTTTTGGAAAGAGTAGGGGACATAGATCCCACTGGTGTGGTCTATCTTTCATTTGGGGGAGTAGAACTGTCACAGGACCACGGTAACTGGCTTCTCACTGTTAGACCTACTCTGTCAAGTATTGGAATATATTGTACATTCCTTAAGTAAATTACTTGATACATACCACCCTACGCATTCATTATAGCATACCTTCATGTTGTACATGTACAAAAGTCATCATTTCCAGTACAATGTGTACATCTTAAACCTTTTTTGTTTCAGTATTGCAGCAGCTTGTTGGGCAGGACATTTTGCAAAACGACTGTTGGAGACTTTATTTGTTCATCGATTCTCCCATGCAACCATGCCTTTATTCAACCTTTTCAAGGTACATTGTGTTGTACATGCTCTGTTTTCGGAGGAACTAGTTAGCTTGAATGCATGTAGGGTGTTCTATGAACTTTTATGTCCTGGAGCATTGTACATTGTACTCCTACTGGTGTGATAGCTTTAGCAATACATGAAGTCACAGTTTTTAATAATAGTTTTTTAAATTACCAAATGAGAGAAAATAACAGCGAAAGATTGGGAAATATTTGTAGCAAATGATTCTATTTATATATGTAACTTGGTAGAATCTATGTTCAACATAGGGTAACTACATCTATTCCAGTCATGAACTTGTTATGTACAGTGTGTTACTGTATTTGATGCAATTTTCTTTTTTCTTTTCATTCTCTGCATGGATTCTAAAGAACTGTACTTATTACGGGTAAGATATTAATTTTTATATTATCCATTTGCTAAAAAGCTTTAAAAGTCTAAATTGTTGTCCACTAAATCAAGAGAGGAAACAATTCATGTTGATGGTGCTGATAATTTATTACTGTCAGTTTTGTAGTGTAATAATTTGAGCTGTACATGGTTTTTCCTTCCACTCTGAGTTTCATGAATTATTGGTTAAAATTGGTCAAGACTATTAGAACTCCTTAAAAGTGGTGATCAAGATTTCATGTTTGTCCCAATAAAAGCAAACTCCAATAAGTAACAACTACAGTCAACTCTCTCATAGCGACCACCTCTCATAAGCAACCACCTCCCGTAAACGGCCACTTTGCAAATAATCCTTTTGTTTCTCAGTCAAACACCGTTTCAAAAGCTCTCTCGTAAGCGACCACTGTGTAAATTTCTTAAACGACTGTGACCACTTTTTGGGTCAAAAATTTGACATATTCTTTTGTTTTCTGTTTCCGGTAAGCGACCACCGAGCATGATCACGTGTGATTGTAACAAAACCGTTGCTTGAATGTCACAAAAGTTCATTTTTGAATAGTGCTGACCAAGTAAGCTGATAGATTTTAGCAATTGTCTTAAAAAAAAGATGTCTGTAGTACGATCTGTAGGTAAAAAAGTGGATTGTCACATTCTTGCTTAATTAAGTTTCATCAGTTCCAAGCGCTATTCGAGTTAAACATTATTAGCAGTTCTCTATGTAATTACACTAATCAGTTCAGTTTGGGATTATTTTCTTGAGTTTTCCTGAAGATGACCACCTCCCGTAAGCCACCACTTTGTCGTTCAACAAATGTGGTCGCTTACGAGAGAGTTGACTGTATCCAATAAAATTAAAGGTGTAGCCCAAATGTCAACCCATAGAGACAAATACAATGTCTGTTGTACCTAACAGGCTTTTATCTTTGTCCATTTGTCTTTGTTTTACAGAGGTTATGGTGTCCTTGTTGGTTATTTTGTCAATCATCCATTGTATACTCCACCAAGTATGTAGGTTGACATTTCAATTAAGCAATTTGGGCATGGTTGGTTTGAAGCCAATTTTATGCTTGAGAGAACAAACCTTATTTTCTTACTCATTTTTGACATGCAACATTATTATGCTGTAGATTTGCAAACTGATGACAAAGGAAGGATGACCCCATACTTGTTACTTGAATGCATGTCAAAACTGTCTTTTTTGTATAATTATGCCCTATTTTTTTTTTCATGCTCTGCTTTTACATAGACATTTAGGCAAGAATAAGAATGAAAAACTGGATTTGCATTTATGTGACCAGGTCATTACATTGATTGTTGTTGGAATAATATTATTGTTTTGACTCTTTTTAAAGCTACAAACCATTGATTTTGATAATTATCAATAAGTCTTTTTGTGATGGAGGCATCGTCAAACTGCATTTGCAATTATTTTAACCTTTTTTTTTTACTTTTAACTCAAACATTTTTCTTGTAATTTATTTAGTGTTTGGTGATGCCCAGGTGTATACAGGCTTAGCTCTGTTCTTGGTAAGTTAAAATTAAGTTTGAATGCATTTTCAAAAATTATGTGGATAGTAACTCCTTTAAAACCATTAGAAATTAACCTGTGGCTGAAAATAATCTGAATAATTTTTTGATATTGCTGGATAAGGTTATTATGGTAAATGATTTATAATCCCTTTGTTTGACTGTTTTTTTTTTTTCAGTTTAACGAGTATGGCAACTTTGTCATCCACTGTGCTTTGAGGGATTTGAGACCTGCAGGTAAGTCACACTTGCTCTGTTGTTATGGTAACCAGTTTTTGACATAGTTAAATGATGCAAATTATCGACACTAATTCACATTTTAAGCTTTTTTTTTGATTTATTGATTAGTTATTAATTTTACAAGGGACTTGCATTAAGCTTAAAAAAAATAACAAAAAAATTTTAATAAGACTAACAAATGCAAGGTCAGGACAAGGTTGACCCCATCGAAAGGAAAAAGCAATAAATCCTAATAAGATGGTAAAGAATTCTTACAAGATAATGTGAATCAAACAACTACAACTAAAAACAGCGTAAGTTATTTACAGATCTACAATGGGGGCCCTTACGATTAATTTCTAGTGTGACACACAGTTATGAAGTTACATTATATGCTTGATCACTAATATTGCTAAAGGAAGTTCAGTATCTTGAGAGACTACAGTACACTAAAAGTAAAAAGAGGTAAAGGCCAGAGGCCTAAACAGCCGGAGCCCATTCCAGTTTCCTGAGTTTTTCTATTCCTCCGTGGACCGGATGCTATTCCAACAGAATGTCGCCAATACCCATTAATACACCTGGATGAAGAGAGACAAAGTGGAGTAAAGATCCTCGTCAAGGGAAACAACACAAAGGGCGAGGCTTGAACCCCTGACCTCCAGATCCCGAGTTCGAAGTGTTAACCGCTTGGTCACATATTATAGTAACTGTTTATCAATTCCATCTGCAGGTACAAAAGAAAGGAAGATACCCTATCCTACATCCCATCCCCTGACACAGTTGTTTAGATTTGTATCCTGCCCTAACTACACCTATGAGGTAAGTTAGACTGAAAACATTTTTCTCCTTGGTTGATTTTACCTGAAGTCTCAGTGGTGGATCCAGGGGAGGGACCCGGCCCCCCACCCCCCCTTATTTTCAGACCGAACTGAGGACCAAAGGGCTGAATAAAAGTTTTTGAGAGACCCCCCACCTTACCTCAGGGTCTGGATGAGCGCCCCCCCCCCCCCCCCTTAATTTAAAGGTCTGAATTTGCAGTGCTGACTATTGGTTACATGCGAAAAACATAGAAGACTAGAGTGACTTTCTTTATCCTTTATTCTTTCTGTGAATTCCCAACCCCCCGCCCACCGCTCCACCCACTTTCTGAGTCAGGTAATTTTGCACAACAGATCCTTAGAGTGTGTATGTAAACACAGAGTTTAACCGAAAAGAAAACCCACCCGATCCATTATTCTACTAGTCTGTTCCACAGCCGTTATTCTACCAAAACTGTCCTATACACGCACAGAGTCATTCCTTCCATGTTCCTTTTAGAAGAAGCTTCAACGCTTATTGCTACACCGTAGTTGTTCTTCCTCTTTACTTCCGCTAAATGAGAAATGTAAGTTAGGATGTGATTTTCTTTTTTTTTTTTCTTCAGGCCGGTTCTTGGATAGCATTTTCTGTGATGACGCAGGCATTAACAGGTATAACCTTGTACAGCATAATAAGTAGTTTTCATGCGAATAGTCACACTTAATAATTTTATCCACAGACTTAAAAGTTAGAAGCACCTTGTACAGCATGATTAACAGTACCACAGGAAAGTACTGCTCATTAACTTTCAACTGAATGTTCAGGAACTCTAGGATTTCAACCACAGACTCAAAAGTTAGAACCACCTTGTACAACGTAATAAACAGTACCACAGGAAAGTACTGCTCAGTAACTTTCATTTGAATGGTCACACCATAGTATTTTGTCCATAGAGTCAAAAGTTAAGAACAATTAGTTGTTTAGCATAATAAACAGTACTACAGGAAATTACTACTATGTAGCTTTCATTTGAATGATCACACTTCAAAATTTTATCCAAAAAAAGGCCAACCTACAACACTTCTAAATTCAAATCTAGAGGGGACTTTGGAGTTCTTGAGAGCTCTTTAGCACTTCGTGGGATAAATGAAGTTTACTTTTTCGTCACAATGAAACAATTAAAAAGTGCTAGAGCGATTTTCGTATGACCTTGAAATGATTTTGAAAACGCGCGAACAAAACAGAAAAAACAAACGAACTGAAATACAGCGATTTGATTGGTTTATCGAACGGATACAAACGCGCGTGGGTTTTGGTTGGTTAGCGAATGCTCGGGTGAAAAAACTTCATGCCCAAGAACTTTCTAGAAGTCAATCGATACTTTGACGTCATACTGCAACACGATTGGCCAATCGAACAATGCCTTCTCTATATTAGTATTTTCTTTGGCGGGAAAACGAAGAGTCCATGTTTTGATCTTTTCATCCATTGGCTGATAAAACAAATAACGAACACTTACGGTAACCATTATTTCAAGGTTATACGAAAATCGCTCTAAGCATATCTGTTTAACATGACGGTTTCTTTTTTTCTCTTTCAGCGGTTTTATTCACCTTGTTTGGATTCTACCAGATGGCAGTATGGGCCATAGGCAAACACCGAAACTATCGCAAAGAATTTAAAGATTATCCGAAAGGAAGGAAAGCTATTGTCCCTTTTCTGTTGTAAATGAATTAAATTAAACTCTGCATTTTGGTTATGGGAATGATCATCGTCAAAGAAGTGGACGATTTTCAAGTCGATTCAACGTCATCACGGGTTTTATGTTCCGGCAAGAGTGCTAGCTTACTTGCGGAGTTTAATTAGTGCAACAGCACGTGACACTTTTACAGTTCCTTAATTTCATTTTTAGTTTCCGCGTAGTTAGTTGTGTTCCCAAACAACCGCACAATCTGGTTGATCTTAAGATAAAGTTCCGTTCTTCTTTCTTCTGACTTAGTTCTTTACAATTCATTTGGGTCATCCTACTATACCGATCTCATCCTCCATTGCCGGAAATTTTATTCTGGTTTTTGAAGCAGAATACCGTAAAATTCCGAAAATAAGCCCCTCCATGTATAAGTTCCTCCAAATATAAGCCCCCCAAACCGGTAACGCAAAAGACCCTCCGTTAAATCGCCCCTCCAAATATAAGCCCCCCCGGGGGCTTGTACTTGGAAAATTGTCCTCAAAGACAAAGTAAAACAAAGCAAAAACGGTAAATTTACTTCCAACTGTGAGGCTAGCTCAATCGATTTTGAAACGCAAATTTCCCTCCGTAGATAAGCCCCTCCAAAAATAAGCCCCTCAAGAAGGGCCTTTGAAAAATCTAAGCCCCGGGGCGTATTTTCGGAATTTCACGGTAAATAGCGTAGCGCGCGAATGACGTCAGAGTGACTAATTTGCAATTTTTGTCTGAGTTTTGTCATTTTTCTCATTTTAATGACAAAAGACAGACAAACATGACACTTTAATGACAAAAGTCAGACAAAAGTGACGAATTCGATTTCAGTTTGTTTGTCAGTTTCGGGTCTATAATTAGTAACTGCGCGCACCGCTATTGTCCTACGGATTTTTTGCGCCGGAAAGATGAATATATAATTAGCCTGAAATCTAGCTGATGTGCGCGCTGTTCACATCAAATGGTTGTGTGGTAGAAAAGTTTGTTTTACAAACCAAAAACGGCAGCTCCTTGTTACTTCATTGACTGTTTTATGGCGTGATTTGGTAAATATATAGAAAATAAACTGATTTCTTCATAGTTTACTTCATTTTATTTGTGGAAATTGGTAGTAGTTGTAATCAAGCTGATGCTCTCCGTGTGACAATTCGAGTCCCGAGCATACCTTTACTTTGATATTTTAAAAAGCTTCCTGACTTGGCTTTGCTTTTCTGATTTTTTTTCCAGCACAAAGCTTCTTTGACGGCAATTCTATACTTGGGTGACCTTGCGGTTTTGAGCCTTTTTTTGATGGCTTGACAGTGACAACCGGCAATCCAGCTGACATTTGTTAGGCTTCTTTGTCACGGATCGCACATAGTCTTACCCGGCGAACAGAGGCCTTTCGTATCAATCTTTCGAAGGGTAGCAATTAGTTTGTTAGCTTGTCTGGCAGTTGATAATCGTGTGACCTGTTGTCTTTGTTGCGTGAGTTGCACGTTACCTAGTCTCTTGGTCGTTTTTTCCGCGCGCCCAAAGCGTTCCGGGTCACGTGGCCCGTTCGCCTTGGATACACCTGGCCCTGAAGCGTGAAATTTCTTGTGTGAGCTCACAATAACCTTTCTTACTCCGCCCAAAAGGAAGTCTATCTTTTCCAGAAGCTTCTACAAGCAGTATCGCTTTCAACTTCCTACTTGTCCTTGAGACGTTCTCCTTCCCCGAGTCTTCCCTTGCTAAGGATTTTGTGAGACTGCTTGAGTCCAGAGTAAGTACCAGTTGAACTCCTTGAACAGTCAGCGTTAATTAGTGATTTATTAATAACGGTGTCAATCCAAAACTTTTCTTCTAATTTGAAAAACTGAAGATTGCTTTCCCCTGTGGCTACGAGTAAGAAGATCAACATAACAACAGGAACTGGCCTCTAGAAGGACAAAGGTAAGCAAATCCTTAGTTTTTTTCCGCTTTTTCGTTTCCTTACACGAGCAGCCTTCTCCCGTATATCCGTCTTCGTGCAAGCGATGCAACGGCGTCAAGTTAAACACTGGTTAAAGTGGTTTGGGCATGTGCCAAGATCAGCAGGGCTTGCCACGACAATTTTACAAGGAACGGTGCAGGGAGAGAGATAAAGAGGCAGACAAAAAAAGCGTTGGGAGAATAATATCTCTGAGTGGACAGGGTTTGCGTTTTGCGACGCCCTAGGAGAATGTGAAAGTATAATCAAATAGAAGGGAAAGGGTTGTTTGGTCCGTGGCGCCCCAATGGTCATCGTGACTACATTGTTGTATTTATAGGTGCAAGAAACAAACGATGCGCAGGCTATATTAATCCTTGAAGCCCTAAGAGTGATCAGCATCAAATTTCTCCGTAAAATCAATGCTTTGTAAAACAGAGTGATCAGGAGAATTACGGACATGATCACACAAGATGAATTTACTTGATATTTTATCAACTTCTCCCAACTACATCTGCAGGAAATGAATAGGGTCAACAAATGAGAATTCAAATTTTGATGTTAGGGTTTAAAGTGATAAGAATTACATCGGTCCAACAGTGAGTCGCACGTCGAATCGCCATATCAGAGAAGAGAGGAGGATAAGTTACGGCTCTTCAGCAGTTTAAACAGAAGAGAGAAGAATTTACATTTGTCGAGAAAAAAATTATCAGCTGGTTGAATTTCCTGTATCTTAGTAGGATGTGCCTTTTCTATTGTACTCTGCATGAAAAAAAACGCAAGTTTGATTCTTCGACTTTGAGTAAGCATACTTGTTGTGGGGCACAATCTTTGGAGGTAAAAGCCTCGTATGATTGAAACTACAACTTTTTTCTGGAGGTCTATGGTAAAAGGTAGTTGCACGGCGGAAGAATTTAGAGTTATTTTGGAAAAGTAAAAGTCGGATGGAGAAGTATTTTAAATTTTTCACAATAAATATTCGCGTGACTCGGCGTTGAGAGAATATTTCCCACTCCACCCTGAGAAATCAATTTGTAATTGCAGCGCTCGTCCCAGACCTTCCGGGCGCAGTTAATTTGTGTTGTGGGGTTAATTTCCCACGCAGACGTTAATAGGGGTTTATCACGCGCTTTTAGTGGGGCAGGAACGCGTTACGAACCCTCAAGGACGTTTGCGCGGGAGGCTATTGTTGGGTTTGTTTGCCTCCAGTGTACTAATGATGATTGTATAATTCGAGGTGTTGACTCGTCACTTTTCACTTACAGTTTTAAACAATTTAAGCTTGCAATGAATGTGAACGTTTTGGAATTGAGGGAAAGAAATCGACAATAGACACTACCAGAGACTTCGATTCTTGAACTCAGGTAAGCATATCTTTTGTTTTTATTCTTTTCTCTCATCTTTAATGTAGCAGCAGTCACCCATAACCCGCTAGTGTCAAGCGTCAGGCATATGTTTGTATCATGTTTGACATTAACGGAACTACAGGGTGTTTCAAAAGTTCGTTCCGATTGTAAATTGTATTTTGCGCAAAGCATTTAATGCTCCCTTAGGCAAATGTAAACTGATTCAGGTAGGAATTTTTTCCCGCCATATTTTTCCCGCCCATTTTGTAGGTTTTCTATTTTCGTTTTTTTTAGCCTGAGTATCAGGCATTTCTGGGGGGAAAGGGGAAAGATGGAAGCGAAAAAGGGAGAGAGCTGAAGGAGAGAAACGCCTGACACAGATGCTTTTACTGGAGCCTTCCACCTCCACACAGCATGATTCGAAACCATCCAATCAAAATCACATCCGGTCATTGGGTTGTCAGCTTCACGTGTCAAAAAGCTCGCCTAAAATAAATCTCACCATACGGTCTTGCCGAGCTCCGGTGCTTGTGATTGTGTTGCAACGATTTCGCTTTTTCTGAAACCTCCAATTTAATGAGGAGTTTTCGAATACTTGTAATGGAAAACCTGCCGTTTTTGAGGAATTATAACACGCTTTAGGAATTGTGCTAATGTAAGATCGCCAACGCTCTGTTTGTAAATAAACGTGTGCCCGGAAAACTGTAAACTGCTTTTGTTTACAGAGTTACAACAGCGGCGCTCAGTAATAAGCAGGTTCCTGAGAATCTGGCAGCTAAAAAGCTGCTGTAAATCAGGCCGAAAATCGTCCGAGGGAAAATCTAAAGACAAGCTAAAGCCTTGGTGCTGTCGGCTATTCTCAATACATGGCTACCTCGCTCTAATTTTATTTACAGTAACAATACCCTTTTAGCGGCAGGATGTTGTAAATCAAAACTTAGACATCTGAAGCACTGATATCGTCTTCTTTGTCCTGGTCTAGCCTGCGAAAACATCCGTTTCTACTCGCTCTTCGTTTCGCAGGCTAGTCCTGGTCTTGTGAAACCAATACTCGGACATAGTTTCGGCAGAAGCTGGTATATGAGGCTTTTCCATACTCCGAGAACATATTTCCTTTTAACTACGAGGCTTTGAAAACACATTTCTTGCTCGGGTGTTATTTTTATTCCCGGAAAGAACCTGAGAGCGCCCTCTTGAGTCTCTTTGAATTCCTCTCTGCGTCTCTATCCATAAATCAAAATACTCTGCTCGTGTTTACTTGCGGTCAGTGACGTCAGGGCGTATTGTGTGTTACCCAATCACTGCCACATCCAGATTCTGGATGTGTCACACGATTTGCTGAATGGTTTTGTGTCAGGCCTTCCTTTCTCTTCTCCCCCCTCCCTCCTCCCCCATCAAAAATCTCGTCTCCCCTATCCCCTTAGGAAGGCCTGATACTCAGGCTACGTTTTTTTGGCGTTTTCTTTTGTTTTCTCTACTCTTTCACGAAAATGAAGGCGCACACTGTTTGTGCAAGAGCTCAGGCATCTATTTTTACAGTGTTCTGTCCATTTAGTCAAAGAAATTGTCAAATTGTTGAGAAGTCTGAACGATGAAAGAACAAGTGGTCAAAAGTAAAGACCTTACCAGACAAACCAAGGAGTAGATGGCCGGTTTTTTTACAAACTGTGTGAAAAATGTTATCGAAGAAAGCAGTAAGTATATGCGTAATAATTCAACAAGACTGCAAGGTAAAAAGATGATTGATGTGATTATCAATAATTATATTGAAAAAAAAAAAAAGTAAAGTGAAGAAAAAATCGGAACGAACTTTTGAAACACTCTGTACATGGCACAAATGTCAGACACGCGCACCCCAAATTATTAGGCCATTTACGAGTTCCAGAAACTCTTTCTTTAAAAACGAAGCTAAGTACAAATCCTTTAAAGTGAAAATGAGTTTTATTTGCATTCGAATAAAGAATCAGTTTCATATCAATGATTTAGGGTGCTTTCGATTGGAAAAACTCGAATTAGATTTTAAAATAAGGATTTCGGATTTGCAATCGAACGCGAAATCCGAAAACGGATTTCAACGCTGACATATCCGTTTTTGCATTTCCATTTTACTGTTCGAAAAAGGATTTGAAAAACGGTCCTTAAGAGCAGCGGTCTTGCACGCGCATGCATAATTAGCAGCAAAAAGAAGACCGCTGTTTACGAGAATAGTTTTGCAATCCTCTTTCCGATTTCCCAATCGAACTGTAAAATGGAAATCCATAAAATCCGGATTTGGATTTCTCAATTGAAATCCACCCTGAGAACGGTATTCGCGTTCGATTGATCAATCCAAAATCGGGATTTCAAAATCTAAATCCTAAGTTCCCAAAGGAACGTAGCCTGAGATCATGCCCTCTCCCTATTATCCCTTTATGTCTCTCACGGGAAGAGGCTCTCCCTCTCGAGCCAAAGAAACAAAGAAGCAAAAACAAAATAACGCCTGCTCTCAAGTTAAAACGAACGCAACCTTAGCCTCACTTTGAAACAGAGACTTGAAGACTACTCGGTCTCAAAAATGTCATTTGGATCATCATTAGTGACTCGTCACCAAGCTGAACTGGGTACTATTCTACTACTTAACACTGAGCGTATTGGATATAATACGAAGGGTGTTAAATAACTCCTTAATTTTAGCACGGAATTTTAGCGTTAATTCATAATTTCACATGTGAAATTACAAAAGTTGCCATGGCAAAATTCCATTTGTTTCAACGTCAAGATGGCGGCAAACTTTTAAAAATAATGTTATGAATGAAGATGTCAGGGCATCAAAAAATGTTTCAGATAACCTAAACACACAAGAGCACATCAAGAAGGATTCTATCAAGTATTTTGTCGTTACCTAGTCTCTTGGTCTTTTTTTCCGCGCGCCCAAAGCGTTCCGGGTGACGTGGCTCGTTCGCCTTGGATACACCTGGCCCTGAAGCGTGAAATTTCTTGCGTGAGCTCACAATAACCTTTCTTACTCCGCCCAAAATCTTTACCAGAAGCTTCTAAAAGCAGTTTCTTTTTCAACTTCCTACTTGTCTTTGAGACGTTCTCCTTCCCTGAGTCTTCCCTTGCTAAGGATTTTATGAGACTGCTTGAGTCAAAAGTAAGTACCAGTTGAACTCCTTGAACAGTCAGCGTTAATTAGTGATTTATTAATAACGTTGTCAATCGAAAACTTTTCTTCTAAGATTGCTTTCCCCTGTGGCTACGAGTAAGAAGATCAACACAACAACAGGAACTGGCCTCTAGAAGGACAAAGGTAAGCAAATCCTTAGTTTTTTCCCGCTTTTTCGGTTCCTTACACCAGCAGCCTTCTCCCGTATATCCGTCTTCGCGCAAGCGATGAAAGGCGTCAAGTTAAACACTGGTTAAAGTGGTTTGAGCATGTGCCAAGATCAGCAGGGCTTGCCAAGACAATTTTACAAGGAACGTTGCAGGGAGGGAGAAGAAGCGGCAAACAAAAGAAGCGTTGGGAGAATAATATCTCTGAGTGGACAGGGTTTAAGTTTTGCGACGCCCTAGGAGAATGTGAAAGTAAAATCAAATAGAAGGGAAAGGGTTGTTTGGTCCGTGGCGCCCCAATGATCACCATAACTACATTGTTAAGGTGCAAGTGATGGCAGGCAATGCAATTTAATCCTTTAAGCCCTCAGAGTGATCAGCATCAAATTTCTCCTTGTAAAATCAATGCTTTGTAAAACAGAGTGGTCATGAGAATTACGGACATGATCACACAAGATGAATTTGCTTGATATTTTATCAACTTCTCCCAACTACATCTGCAGGAAATGAATAGGGGCAACAAATGAGAATTCAAATTTTGATCTTAGGGTTTAAAGTGATAAGAATTACATCAGTCCAACAGTGAGTCGCACGTCGAATTGCTATATCAGAGAAGAGAGGAGGATAAGTTACGGCTCTTCGATTTTCAGCAGTTTAAACAGAAGAGAGAAGAATTTACATTTGTCGAGAAAAAAATTATCAGCTGGTTGAATTTCCTGTATCTTAGTAGCATGTGCCTTTTTTATTGTACTCTGCATGAAATAAACGCAAGTTTGATTCTTCGACTTCGAGTAAGCATACTTGTTGTGGGGCACAATCTTTGGAGGTAAAAGCCTCGTATGATTGAAACTACAACTTTTTTCTGGAGGTCTATGGTAAAAGGTAGTTGAACGGCGGAAGAATTTAGAGTTATTTTGGAAAAGGAAAAGTCGGATGGAGAAGTATTTTAAATTTTTCACAAGAAATATTTGCGTTACTCGGCGTTGAGTGAATATTTCCCACTCCACCCTAAGAAGAGTCTTGTAATTGCTGAGCTCGTCCCAGACCTTTCCGGCGCAGTTAAATTTTCACCTTGGCTTGATTGAAAGATGTGTTGTGGGGTTAGTTTCCCACACAGACGTTAATAGGGGTTTATCACGCGTTCTTAGTGGGGCATGAACACGTGACGAACGCCCAAAAACGTGTGTGTGGGAGGCTATTGTTGGGTTTGTTTGCCTCCAGTGTACTAATAATGATTGTATAATTCGAGGTGTTGACTCGTTGCTTTTCTCTTATTTTAAACAATTCCAGCTTGCAATGACTGTGAACGTTTTGGAATTGAGGGAAAGAAATCGACAATAGACACTACCAGAGACTTCGATTCTTGAACTCAGGTAAGCGTATCTTTTGTTTTTATACCTTTCTCTCATCTTTAATGTAGCAGCAGTCGCCCATAACTCGCTAGTGTCAGGCGTCAGACACATGCTTGTAGATCAATGATCATGTTTGACATAAACGGAACTACATGGCAGAAATGTCAGACACGTACACCCCAAATTATTAGGCCATTTAGGAGTTCCAGAAACTCTTACTTTAAAAACGAGGCTAAGTAAAAAGCCTTTAAAGCAAAAATGAATTTTATTTGCATTAGAATAAAGAATTATTTTCATATCAATGATTTAGGGTGCGTTCGTCTGGAAAAACTGGATTTAGATTTTAAAATACGGACTTCGGATTAACAATCGAACGCGAAACCCGAAAACGACGGATTTCAACGCTGAGATATCTGTTTTTGCATTTCCTTTTTACCGTTTGATTGCGAAATTCGAAAAAGGATTTGAAAAATGGTCCTTTTGAACAGCGGTCTTGTACGCGCATGCATAATTAGCAGCAAAAAGAAGACCGCTGTTTACGAGAATAGTTTTGCAAATCCTCTTTCCGATTTCCCAATCGAACGGTAAAAAGTAAATCCTTAAAATCCGGATTTGGATTTCTCAATTGAAATCCACCGTGAGAACGGTATTCGCGTTCGATTGCAAAATCCAAAATCGGGATTTCAAAATCTAAATCCTGATTTCCGAAACGAAGGCAACCTTAGCCTCACTTTGAAACAGAGACTTAAGAAAACTCGGAAATGGCCTAAGGTCATCCATGGTCTCAAAAACGTCATTTGGATTATCACTTTTTACTCGTCACCAAGCTGAACTGGGTAATATTCTGCTACTTATCACTGAGTGTATTAGATATAATACCAAGGGTGTTAAATAACTCCTTAATTTTAGCATGGAATTTTTAGCGTTAATTTATTATTTCATATGTGAAATTATAAAGTTGCCATGGCAACATTCAATTCGGTTCAATGTCAAGATGGTGGCAAACTTTTAAAAGTAATGCTATGAATGAAGATGTCAGGGCATCAAAATATGCTTCAAATAACCTTAAGACACAAGAGCAAATCAAGGATTCTATCAAGTATTTTGTCAAAAAAATTGTGAAAATCATAAACATAAGCCAAAACTTAAGCTCTTAAGTTTTCAGTGCATGGAGTTTTTGATCGATAATCACTTTAATTTTAACTGAGTTAAGCACCACGAGCTTAGCGGTCAAGCGGCTCATGAGCTTAGCAGTCAAGCGGTTCAAAAGCTTAATGGTCAAGCGGTTCACGAGCATAGTGGCTAAGCGGTCCAAGAACTTAGCGGTCAAGTGGTCCATTAGCTAAGCGGGCATCCAGCATTCATTCCCGTAAGTGCAGGCTCACATGGTACGTGATAGCTTTGTACACTGCTAGAATCGTTGAGGGTTTGTGCAGCGGTCTGTGGAGCGGTTGCTTTAACGTCTTGTTTTCGTCCTTTTAGCGTTTTTTGGAGCAGCAGTCCTACAGCGTGTTTTTCTTGAATCCTTTTCTTTCAATTCGCCAACGAGTGCGAGTCGTGGCGTTCGTTCAGGACGCGAACCATGAAGAACAGCCTGTCTATGGCTGCGGGCGCACTTGGCACGTTAACCGGGTTAGTTTTTGAAAAACGGGGAAAAATTCTCGAAATCCGGACCATTCTCACGCGTAGGCGGAGATGATCGACTAATTGATAAGGTTAACCTGCATTAAGACTGTAGAAAACCCGGCCGCACTCGCAGCTTTTTTAAACGAGTTAACTTTAATTAGTTAATTGGAAATAACTCGGTTAAGTGCTTAAGTGCGGCCGCAGCCATTGTGTTTTACGGTTACCGCGTTTTCGCGTTCTAGTTGCGGTTCTACACCAGCTCCTCCGGTTAACAAACCAGCGTCACAACCAAGTCAAACTGTTTCTCTGCCGGACAATAACAACAACTGCACGGGCAATTTCAAGGGCTCTCGCAGAATCGCTACCTTCGTTGTTATCTTCCCTTCAAGATTCCAGTGGCGGGAACGCCAACATGGCTGCGACGTCTGGTCATTCATCTGGTCCTTCTAATTCAGCTCATTATCCGGCATCCTCGAGCTCCGGTACTCCCTGCTCCGCCTCCCAGTCTTCAGGTACGGTTGTTGTGCCCTTGATTATTTCAACTTACATCTCATTTGATGGTCCTTCGGTTGCCTCTACTCTTCCCGCCACGTCCTCCGCAAACTTGCCTGTAGTGGTTGGGGGCTCTTACGGTGGCGCGACCGGATCTGTGTCCTCCACGTTTCCAAGCCTCAACAAAGCTTTTGTGGTGGGTCCTGGCTATGCTCCAGTCCTTTATAAGTTTGTTTCTAAAAATTTTAGCCAGGCTTTTTGTAGACCTGGCCGACCTACTTCCAGACAATATTAGAGCTCAAGAAGTCGAACCCGCGTTTTTGGAGAGAAAACTGGTGGAATAGGGGTCTACAAAAACGGGTCGTAGAAATAGCAGACATCGTCACCTCGATAGAAGCCTTCACAATCTTTTTTATGATTCTTTGCCACACCGTCCCCTTTCGCTGAAAAGATATAAACTAGTATTCATAAACTAATATTCATTATTCAGACAGCAAAGCGCTTCTCTGACAAATCATGGCTCTGCTACGACATTGCCTTCGGAAAAGAAGCAGCAGCCTCGGGTTCAACCGACTGGTCTCGCGTGCGCCCAAACCTCTACAATTTTCACACCAGATCTCCGACTACCACTTCAGCTGCTCCAGGCTCCACAAATCCCTCAAATTCCTCTGCCTTGTCACTAACAGAGCCACTGGCGTCTTCGGGCAATCCCCAGTCTAACCAGTATTGCCACTCCTGGAATGATAGGCGCTGTCGCTGGCCCTTTGGCCGCTGCGGGTTTTGTCACTCCTGCGAAACGTGCCATGGGGACCACCCTCGCATTCAGTGCCCTCACCACTCAGCACACTAGCGAGAATGGCCCCGCTCCCCTTTTCAGTCAAAAGGGGGTCACCGCCGTCCTAGGCCACCTCTCCTAGCCAATTCAGTTGCACATAGATTTGATTCTGTTCTCGTTGGTGCTCATGGTAACTTTTCAGCCTTAGAGTTGCGTTATCCTTTTTGACCTTCTCAACAGCAGGGTCTGGTTATTTGTTGCCTTCTCAGGCTGTTTGCCTTTTTCTCAGCTTACTCCCATTAACCTGGATTGATTACAGCATGAACTCCGCCATCATCCTTCCCCAAAGTTGCATAAGGGATCCAAGACCCTTACGATGGTTTGTTTTCACCTACATTTTAGGCTTTAATTACAGTACTTCCTTGAAGTCGGCAACGGGAATATGGCTTCGGCACTCTTTAAACCTCTTCAACAATTACTTGCAATCGGAGGTTCAGACAGGCAGACTGGCGGGCCCTTCTCTCAGCCTCCACTCCCTGTCCTCCATGTGAGCCATTTCGGCGTCATCCCCAAACGCTACCACCCTGGGAAATGACGTCTCATCCTGGACCTGTCAAGCCCTGCTGGTCACAGTGTCAACAACAGTATTGCGGGCGAGCATTTTCCTCTACATAACATGGTTGTAGATGAGATTACTGCGGGCATGCGGCTTGGGCGGGGTTCTCTTATAGCGAAATTGGATGTGCAAATGCATAGCATATTGTACCAGTCAATACAAAGGATCGCCGGTTGTCGTGTTTTAAATGAGGTTCTGCCTTTCATGTCAATGTGGTCCTGCCCTTCTGCAGTAAGGTCAGCTCCATATATCTTCACATGTATAGCAGACTCAGTGCAGTGGGTGGCCAAGCGAAACTACGATGTCACCTTCCTGATGCATTACCTTGATGACTAAGTCCTCCCGGCTTCTCTGTCTGTCAACACAATCTGGAAATGTCTATTGACTGTTTTTCTAATCTTGGAATACCCCTCCATCTAGACAAACAGGAAGGGCCATCGACGTGCCTAACCATTCTGGGCATTGAAGTGGACTCTCTTAATGTACAGGCATGCCTTCCGCAGGAAAAATTTGATAGGATAACTGCCTTGTTGAAGGAATGGTCACAGAAGCTTTGGTGTAAACGCAAGGAACCGGAGTCTCTAATGGGTCACCTTCAGCTTGCCTGCATGGTTGTACTCCAAGGTCGCTCTTTCATGCGCCGAATGATCAACCTGCTATGCGCTTTTCATCCCTATGACCACCTAATTCGTCTCATTCAGGAGTTCTTTCTTGACCTAGCCCGGAAGCAAGAGGTTTTCCAGTCTTGGAATGGTTGCAGCTTCCTTCAGTACCCTCAGTGGACTCTACTGGCCGACTTCTAGGGGCGCTTTCCATTTAGCCAAAATTTCCGGAATTTCCGGTTCGGCGGTAAATGGAACACGTTTCGTCGGTTCGTCCCACTGGAAAATTCCCAGAAAAAGTGGAAAATCTAAAAAGGTGGTCCCGTTTTCCCGGTTGGAATTTCCGAACGGAATGTCGTGTTCCATTTACGTTTCTCGTAGTTTGTACCAGTTCCAGGTCCACGGTCGGGCACCGCCACGTACCGAGGGTTATGACCAAATGGAACAACTTTTTACCAATCGGAAATTCCACTTTTGCTACCACCGAAATTTCCGGGTTTTTTTCGTAAATGGAAAGGCCCAAGGTTTCTTCAGATACCTCTGGGGCCCTTGGTTACGGAGCAGTTTTCCAGGGTCACATGGCTCGCAAAACAGGTCTCTCAGTCCATCGAGTACAAGCACCTCTTCCCTGTTGTCGTGGCAGCCTACGTCCGGGGTCCCCCTATGGGCCTTCAAATGGGTCAACTTCCTATCAGATAACCGCTCAGTTGTGGAAATTCTGCGGTCTGACACTTCAAGAGCCCCTGCCGTCATGTCCCTGGTTCGCTATCTGTCCTTATTGACAGCTACACATTCCTCCTTTTCACTGAGACCCCAGTTAGGGGGAAGTCTAGCCCAGTCGTGGACTTTCTGTCTCATTTTTAGTTTCAGCACTTTCGCCGGTTAGCCCCTCATGCAGACTCTATTCCAACCCAGATTCCTCAGCAGCTTTTCTCGGATAAATGCCACTTCTACTTGAATCAGGGTCTTGCCCCTTCTACTAGAAAAGGTTATGCCTATGCCGAACGCCGCTTTCTGCTGTCATCTTGCCGATACTCTCCACCATTTATCCATTACCTTTCAGCAATCCGATCCCTTCACATCAACGAGGGTCTGCCTTCTCCACTGGTTGGTTGCCACCAAGGCTCAAATAAGCGTCAGCGCCAACCCATCACAATCGAGCTGATGCACATTATCTTCCAGTCCTTGAACTTCTCTGACTACAGCCATAAAATGCTTTGAGCTGCCTGCTGTCTCGGTTTTTTTGGTTTCTTACGCGCTGGTGAGTTCACCGTCAACTCGTTTTAAATCTCGACATCCACCGTGCTGTCAGCGATGTCCAAGCAGATTCCGTTATCAATCCAGGCAGCTACAGAATCCACATTTAGTGCTCTAAAGACTAATACGGACCCGTTTCGCCAAGGTTGCTATATCTACGTTGGTGCTGGAAAACGTATTCCGTCCTTTGCGTGCCCTTACCCAGCATCTCTACTCCTGGTCCACTTTTCTTTTTCTCTTAACCCCTCTACATCACCAATGGCTTACATCCAGTATTCAATCCATCCTCTCCGCTGCCGGGTTCCCTGGTTGCTACACCGGTCATAAATTGTGTAGCTACTTCAGCAGCCTCTTGTGGCTTACCAGATCACTTCATCGACACGCTTAGCAGATAGTCCAGCGATGTGTATCAGATCTACATTCGCATTTCTATCAGTACTATCGTGGGGGTAGCAAGTCTGCTCACAGGTATTTCTTGCGTGTCTTCCTCCTATCCTGGTTGTTTAGGGTGTAGGGTGTAGGGTGCCTCAGGGCTAAGGCTTCCCCAACTCTAAGCCCCTCTTTCCCTCTATCTAGGGGCTGGCTGGCCACAGTGAAAGCCCCTGCGTATCCCAGGCATTCACCTTCATGACATCTGTAAACGGTTAGACTCTCTAGTTATGCAAGGATGAAAAGGTCCCATCTCACAGCACTTCCAGCTAGCGATACGTGGCCCCAAAGATATGGAATGCATTACCGGAAGCATTGAGACATGAGAGTGAACTAAGTAGCCTTAAAAGACGCTTGAAAAAAAGCTTACGTCACACAGTTATATTGATTTGTAGATAGTTTTTAATTTTTGTTATCACAGCAGTGAAACCTGTATTAAGCGGACACTCGCGGGGAATGCTGTAGTGTCCGCTTAATACAGGGTGTCCGCCTAATACAGGTTTCGATAGATAACGCTATATGAGGTTTCAAATGCCATTCAAATGAACAGTGGAAACGTTTACAGTACTCCCAGAAACTATGACGATATACGTCTGCATTAATTTCTTTATCAAAGTGAACCAATTGATCATAGTACCATAAACATAGATTGCAACTCAAATTTGAAGAAATCAGATGAGTGAAACAAGCTCTCTACAAACAAAACTAAATAGAAAACAATGCAGTCCGGTGAAACTAATCAAATAATTAAGTTCGTCAACTCAAGTTTTTGAATGTAAAAATCGAAAAATTTGTGGGTGGCAATTCGAGGCAATCCGGCTTTCGCATTTCCGGTGTCTGGCTTGTTGGGTGGTGGAATTTAATTACAAGTGTCCGTTTAATACAGGTTGGCAACAATAGAAATGACCATTTCAGGTACTTTTTAGGTGTCCGCGTCCGCTTAACCCTTCAAACCCTGAGATCAAAGTTTGTATTCTCATGTGTTGCCCCAATTCATTTCCTACAGAAGAAGTGGGGAGAAGTTGATATAATATCAAGCAAACTCATCTTGTGTGATCACGTCCGTAATTCTCACGACCACTCTGTTTTACAAAGCATTGATATTACAAGGAGAAATTTGATGCTGATCACTCTTAGGGCTTAAAGGGTTAATAGAGGTGTCCGCTTAATAAAGGTTTCATTTAAAGTAAATAAGGGAAATAAATTTTGGGACTTCGGCTACTGTCCGCTTAATAGAGGGTGTCCGCTTAATACAGGTTTCACTGTACTAAATTGTACATAGTTTTATTCTATTTCATTAGACAGATATTTTATATTGTATCTTAGTTTATTATTATTATTATTATTATTATTATTATTATTATTCATTCAAAATATTTCCCCGATTCTGATTGGCTAAAAGCACACGCATAATTCACCATAACCAGCTACTGATGACCAAATTTGGAAGAATTTTGCGTTTAATGAACCAATGACGTCAAAAGTGCAGCCTTCTTTCACCATTAACCGAGAACACCTAGGGACAAGGTTGAGTTGTTTTAGTTGAGAAAAACGAAAATGGCGGACATTTCACTCGTTTCAAGAGTAAGAACTAGGCGAAATAATAGCTAAAAACATGGCAAGAACAGCAAGAAGACAACTCGAAGGGCGACATCTGCTGTATGGAGAATATTTGCGAAGCTGAACAACCCTAAACGTACACTATCGAAAATGAACTTAACATCGATGGAGTTAGGCATGTTTTAGCTATGTTTTTAAACTAGGAATTATTTTGAATGAATAATAAAACAATTATTGAATTCGGCTTTCCTATCATATTAAGAATTATGGAGATCTCGGAGGGTGTTATCGGGACCTCGGCCTATGGCCTCTTGACGGATAACACTACCCATCTCGATCTCCATAATTCTTCATAAGTTACTCAGCCTCATTCATTAACTGTTAATTATTATTATTATTATTTATTATTTATTTATTTATTTGGTATGTTTGTTTTTTATGGCAATATCTGTAAAATAGTGATACTTGCAATACTGTAATGAGCTAAGTGTATTTGACCACATTAAAAAAGGTCACTTACTCACTTTGGTTCTTGTGGGACTTAAGGTGGCTCGTTCCTATTTATATGTGTGTTGGTTCCAGTTCCAGTTAAGAGGTAGTTTGTCAGCTCTCTTCCGCTATTTGTGCGTTTACGTTCACAAATGTGTTAGCCTATCATTTTAGCATTAAATTTGACCAACATTTTGTGGAGCGATTTCTACGGTCACGATTGCCTTCAAACTTACAGACATAAAACTAGAGAGCTCTGATCAGGCTTATTTGCTGAAGTTAGGGAGAAATCTGTCGTGGGATTTCGAAGTTATTTTCATTTTTCTTAAAAATGAGGTTTTAAATATATGCCGATATCTCAAACGTTTTTATACCTATAAGAAAATAAATAACATTTTCTTAAAGTTCCGTCGTTATTTATTAAGGATGCAAAAAGTCGTAGAAATCGGTTTAATTTTTCATTCTGAAAAACGCGAATCAAAAACATAACCAACACGCATATAAATAAGAACGGGCCGCCTTAAAAGAACCCACACCACTGTTCGAGAAGGGTAGGGGACATAGACCCTTGTAATGTGGCCAACCTTTTCCCGGCTTGGTGGGTTATTTAGCTCTTACTGTGATTTACAGAGCTTTAATTCACCATGTGTTTCTTGAATTTATTATCAGTTGATTGATGACCAGGGGAATATTCAGTCAATAACATCGCTTCATTAGAGAATTTCTCATATTTTTTATCTCAGCAAGTCCAAATATTCATGGTAAGTTGTTTTATGTATTCATCATCAGAGACCTAATTAGAGACACAGCTAATTGAGAAGCCGTGATGGCCTTAATTCAGGGGCAATTCATTACAAGATTAAGGGGAGAGCCCCTTGGCTCTAATTACTCTACCAATCCAGTTCTATAAGCATTTGAATTCCCAGCTTCTGCATTTTTTCTGGCCAGTAGACAAAGAGGAACTTTTTGGGGAGTTAACTGCCAGAGTAGAAGAAGACACTTTTTAAGAAATTTAGGTTATTAACGACACCACTTAATTAGCTTATATCAATCCATGTCCACTTTTTTACACTCAGTTTAATTTTCCTTCCTTCGATCCTTGTGACTAGAGAAACTGAGATGATTATATCAAAAAACTGAATTTATTTATTTTTAAGAAAAATTCATGTATAATTGCCAAGGAAGAAATGCTTTGATTTTCAAACATTAAATTCTCGCCATCAGTACGGCATAGCAAAATATATGTGGAAAAGA